GTGTCTCCACCTACACGCGCTCACATGTCACGCTCTATGCTTGCACGTGTTGCCACCAACACACGCTCAGGTGTCTCCACCTACACACGCTCACGTGTTGCCACCTACACGCGCTCACGTGTCGCCACCAACACTTGCTCACTTGTCGCCACCTACACGCGCTCACTTGTCGGCACCAACACTTGCTCACTTGTCACCACTTACGCGCGCTCACTTATCGCCACCAACACTTGCTCACTTGTCGCCACCTACACGCGCTCACGTGTCGCCACCAACACTTGCTCACGTGTCGCCACCTACACGCGCTCACTTGTCGCCACCTACACGCTCTCACGTGTCTCCACCTACACGCGCTCACGTGTCGCCACCTACACGCGCTCACGTGTCGCCCTCTGCGCGTCCGCAGGAAGATCTCGCCGACGGAGAGCTTCATGACGGTGATGCTGGCTGCGGGTGAGGGCTTCCACAACTACCACCACACGTTCCCGCACGACTACGCGACGTCCGAGTTTGGCAAGATGTTCAACGTGACGACGACGTTCCTCGACCTGATGGCGCGCCTCGGCCTCGCCTACAACCTGAAGACGGTGCCGCGCGAGCTCGTGCAGCGGCGACGCGATCGCACGGGCGACGGCACGATGCGCACCTTCGGCCTGCTCAAGTAGAGCGTCGCTCAGCAGGGGGCGCTAGTGGACGAGCGGCGACGCGAAGGCTGCGTTATTAGCGGGGTGGTCAGTGAGGTGGTAGGAGGCAATAGTAGAGGAGCAGTGAGGTGTGAAAGGCCCTAGTAGAGTGTAGGCTGGTGAGGTGTAGGGGGCGCTAGTAGATGGGAAGACGGTGATTTAGGCACTAGTAGAGGCGAGTTCAGTGAGATGTAGGGGGCGCTAGTAGAGGAGTGGTCAGTGAGATGTAGGGGGCGCTAGTAGAGGAGCGGTCAGTGAGATGTAGGGGGCGCTAGTAGAGGAGTGGTCAGTGAGATGTAGGGGGCGCTAGTAGAGGAGCGGTCAGTGAGATGTAGAGGGGTGCTACAGATGTCTGAAGAAGAGTAGTTATCGAGGTATAGGGGCTGGTAGAGATGTCTAAAGTTGAAGGTGTAGGAAGTGGGGCATGAGGCCATGCATGACTTAAGTAGAAGGATGCTTGGTGAGGCCAGAGTAAGCATAATTACAATACTCTACATTACTCGGTGTGGAGGGGTGTAAGCATATTAACCTCTACACATTGGGTGGAGGGCTGTGTTAGCATATTAACCTTTGAACGTTGGGTGGATGAGAGTGTATGCATGATAACCTTTAAATATTTGATAGATGGGTGTGTAAGCATATTAATCTCTAAACAAGTCCAAACTTTTTTATATGTTATTTATAATGCTTATCAGTGCAACCTCAGCCCCAGGACCTTGATGGAATCGCAACAACTTTGGTTAGCCCGCATCGTTTGAAAACTCGCTGGTGATTAATCGACCTGGTGCCTGAAAATTTGATGGATGATTGTGTTAGGATACGTCTGCAGTCTGCACATTGGGTAGGGGTGTAAGCACATTATCCTCTGCACATTGGGTGGAGGGGTGTGGTGTGTTAGCATAGCAACCTCTACACATTGAGCAGGAAAACGCAACCCTAATTACCCAAACCCGCCTGCGTGTTGGGGTGGAGCGGGGAGCAGGTAGCCCCCTCGTAACGTGTGAACCAATCCTACGTGTGTGGCGGGGTGAGGGGCAGCGCGAGGACTGCCCGCTCACGTCGCGTATATAGTTGCCCGTGCAAGAATCACGCGCTATATAATACGTACACCATCTTATCGTAATGGTTTCCCATGCAATGATTGAGACATGATTGATCTGTTGCAAAGAATGCTGTCTTGTGTATTTAGGTGTGATTTGGAACCTAGATGTTACCTGTTGAAGATTCTGATTAGAGATGGAGGTCACTCGTAGTTCCTGATATTTTTTCTCGGTGTAATACATGTATCGTGTTATCGCTGCAGCTTGTGTAATCTTTGACCGAGTTATGTTTATTTGTACCTTGTTCTATGTTTTAGTTGAGTTCTAGGTCTTTGGACCTTGAAATGCGTGTTTGTTTCGTATGCAATTATGCCCTAGGCTTTTTTTCGATTAGTAATTTTATATTTTCTATCTTTGATGTTGTTTGTTTGTTCTTCTCTTTGCGAACTGTTTACGTCACTGTTTAGCTGTGGTGACATCACCAGCCTTGGCGTCGAAGACTATTGACATTGTGAGAAGTTGTGTTGAGAGTTTGTGAGAAATTGAAAGTGGCAAAAACGTATTTTTTGCTGGAAATATATAATTATAATAGAATTTTTCGTGAATAATGCCTTTTATAGGCCGGTAATAATTTATTTTTGTACGCGGATGTTTGTCTGGCTCGTTGTTGTTGATGTTGTTGTTTCAGCTGCAGCTGCTGCTGTTTATTGTAGAATGCATTCCAGTGATATCTCATCGAATGCGAGCTTAGTTGTTATATGGACGACACCGGTGTAAAAGCACAGACGGAGGAAACAAGTAGTTAACGTGTCGGCTTGGTGTCGTTAAGGCGACGCATATTTACGTGATGTCAGCGTATGAACGATATTGAAAGCGTTTCTCCACGTATAGTAGTAACTATATTGCTTCCCGGTTTACGAATGAACCGTGTATGATGAGTGTATCATTCGGTTTATAGGCGCGCCATCTATCGACGACGATATTACTCAACACGCAGTGATTCTTATCCCTGCGAAAGCAAGCCGTCACAAGCGGACAGGCGGCCAAGAAAGAGTGCCCTGCTTTTAACTACTCTAACGCTGCGCTCTTAAACAAGTTGAGCCGAATTTATTCGTTATCGTGATATTTTTTATTGATTTGTTATTGAGCGGGTTTTGGATATTTGCTGTTTAATATTGTTTTTCGCGCATTGAGATTACAAGAGCTGCAGTTGACTGTCACGTTGCTTTCAGCGCAGTATGGTGATGGTGTTTTCCAGAATAAACCCAACCGTCAAGTGCAACAAACAAACAAATCATGTTCTGTACTGATGAATTTGTGCCACGGGTAGTTATATGATCTAAAGCAGTACTGAATGATGAAGTTATCCCGGTTAAAGCGCGTCTAATCGTTGGAAATGTTTAGTTTCTGCAATTGCACGTGTAAATTCAAGCACGCATGCACGCACTCACTCGCACGATATAATGCATAGTACACAACCCCGAGTTGAGGGCAGGAGACAGGGAAGCAAATCCATTTTAAAAAGTTCAGGAATCAGACGTGGTTCAAGAGCCTGCGAGGAAGCGAAGCGGCCGAGGGTGGAGCTAGGAGGGGGGTATCTCCCGTCCAATGGTAGGAATTTTTCGTATTTTTGATCTCTAAAACGTTCATTTTCGCGCATTTTAATTGCAGGTATCAACAGGAGGAGGTGCAAGGTCTTCCTCCTATTTATTAAATGATGTCTACTGATGGAATGTTATCATATAAATCTATGCTAGGATAACTCCTCTTCATTTTAAACGCATATTCTTTGCAAAATACGATTCCTCTCGGGAGATATTGCGCATGCGCGCGCACCGTGTTAGGCGTGCAGTGCCGTCTGAGGAAAACTTCATAATATAGCTTGCTGCAGGGGAGAGGGGATGGGAGTCTGAAGAAAGGCGGCAGGGAAGATAGCTGGGGGCGGTAGAAGAAGAAGGAGGCTGAGCGAGGGACAGGGCAGGCAAGGGGAAGGACGTGAGGGCATAAAGTATATGTTTTATACCCGACATGCTAGGGCGCTCTCCTAATTATAAACACATGTCAACCGATAAAAGTTTATTAGGGAAATCTATGCTGAAATACCCCCTAACCATTTTAAATGCATATTCTTCACAAGATATAACTCCTCTGGTGAGATATTACGCATGCGCTGACACCCTAACGTAGCCAGATTGTGTACTGGCTGGTATACGCAGCGGGGACTACATGCAAAGTCTATCTCCTATTTATTAAATCATAGAAATCTATGCTAGGATAACTCCTCTTCATTTTAAATGCATAATCTTTGCAAAATACGATTTCTATCGAGAGATATTGCGCATGCGCTGACACCCTAACGTAGCCAGATTGTGTACTGGCTGGTATACGCAGCGGGGACTACATGCAAAGTCTATCTCCTATTTATTAAATCATATAAATCTATGCTAGGATAACTCTTCTTTATTTTAAATGCATAATTTTTGCAAAATACGATTTCTATCGAGAGATATTGCGCATGCGCGCGCACCGTGTTAGACGTGCAGTGCCGTCTGAGGTAAACATTATAATATAGCTTGCTGAGGGAAAGAAGGGATGGGAGACTGACGAAATGCGGCAGAGAAGAAAGCTGGGGGCGGTAGAAGAAGAAGAAGGCTGAGCGAGGGAAAAGAGAGGCAAGGCGAAGGACGCGAGGGCATAAAGTAGGTGTTTTGTACCCTACATGCTAGGGTGCTCTCCGAATTATGAACACAGGTCTACTGATAAAAGTTTATTAATGAAATCTATGCTGAAATACCCCTTTACTATTTTAAATGCATATTCCTCACAAAATATAACTCCTCTGGTGAGATATTGTGCATAACGTAGCCAGTGTGTACTGGCTGGTATACGCAGCCGGGACCTTACATACATGGTCTTCCTCCGATTTATTAAATGATGTCTACTGATAGAATGTTATTATGTAAATTTATGCTAGGATAACTCTTCTTCATTTTAAATGCATAATTTTTGCAAAATACGATTTCTGTCGGAAGATATATGCGCATGCGCGCGCACCGTGTTAGGCGTGCAGTGCCGCCTGAGGTAAACATTATAATATAGCTTGCTGAGGGAAAGAGGGGTTTGGAAACTGAGGAAATGCGGCAGGGAAGATAGCTGAGGGCGGTAGAAGAAGAATGATGCTGAGTGAGGGGCAGGGGAGGCAAGGAGAAGGACGCGAGGGCATAACGTAGGTGTTTTGTACACTACATGCTAGGGCGCTTCCCTAATTATAAACACATGTCAACCGATAAAAGTTTATTAGGGAAATCTATGCTGAGATACCCCCTAACCATTTTAAATGCATATTCCTCACAAAATATAACTCCTCTGGTCAGATATTGCGCATGCGCTAACACACTAACGTAGCCAGATTGTGTACTGGCTGGTATACGCACCCGGGACATTACATGCATTGTCTTCCTCCGATTTATTAAATGATGTCTACTGATAGAATGTTATCATATAAATCTATGCTAGGATAACTCCTCTTCATTTTAAATGCATAATCTTTGCAAAATACGATTTTTCTCGGGAGATATTGCGCATGCGCGCGCACGGTGTTAGGCGTGCAGTGCCGTCTGAGGTAAACATTATAATATAGCTTGCTGAGGGAAAGAGGGGATGGGAAATTGAGGAAAGGCGACAGGAAAGATAGCTGGGGGCAGTAGAAAAAGAAGAAGACTGAGCGAGGAACAGGGGAGGCAAGAGGAAGAACGTGAGGGCATTAAGTAGGTATTTTGTACCCTACATGCTAAGGCGCTCTCCTAATTATGAAGACAGGTGTACTGATGAAGGTTTATTAGGGAAATCTATGCTGAGATACCCCCTAACCATTTTAACCCTCTATCTACCGGCGTATCAAATTTGATAC